TCTCTCTCTCTCTCTCTCTCTCTCTCTCTCTCTCTCTCTCTCTCTCTCTCTCTCTCTCTCTCTCTCTCTCTCTCTGTCTGTCTTCACTGTGGATAGGGCAGTGGGCCTGGAGTAAGGAAGATGAGTTCAAATCTAGCCTCAGAGACTTACTACCTGTGTGACCCCTGTCTGCCTCAATGTCCCTGAATTAAAAATTAGGTCAATAGTAGCACCTACCTCCCAGGATCAAATGAGATAATATTTGGAAAGTGCTTTGCATGGTACCTAGCACAAAATAGGTACATAATAAATGCTTTTCTTTTTCTTGGAAAAATCTTCTGCTATCTTGTTTTATATCATCTTCATTTCTGAATATATCCCTCTTCTTCCAATCAGCAAGCTATTCCTTGTAATAAGGAAGAAAAAGAAAAAGAAAAAAGTTAGTAAAATTAGTCTACACATCAACTGAAACTGATAGTATATATTTTGTTCCATATCCATAGTCACCCAACTCTGCAAAGATGGCTATCTTCAACTACTCTTTTTCTCCTTGCTTTTATACTTTTTAAAGCCCCTTCCAATTTCTATCAATTCTAATCAGTCTTTCCTTCAAGAATTGTGCTTCTACCCCTCTCTTCCCAATTATGGAAATCTTGACTTCTTTCCCTCAGAGTCATCTGTTGTCCTGGCCCACATGGTCCATCTACAGAGAAATCAAAGCTACACATCTGGTTCGATCTAAAACTCCGAGGAAACCAGAAGGTAAATGGACTGAATCTTCTGGGATGCTGGGGTCCCTCCTTCCCAGGAGAAAGTTTATAGCATCATAGATTTACATTACATCCCCAAAGGATGAATAAGGTTCATGAGGGCAGGTGTTGTTTAACTTTTTGTATGTGTTTCCTTATCATCTAGCACAATGCATGATAATAGTTGAATAACAAATGTTTGTTGAATGATTGGGTTGGTTTAAATTGGAAAAGACCTTAGGGGTCATCCAGTACAATCTTTTCATTTTACAGTTAAGGAAACCAAGAGAAGTGAACCAACTTGCCCATGGTCACATTCTTACACTAAATCAAGAACCAGACATCCTAAGAGAGCATAGTGCCATCAAATCGACAATTCCCAAGACTTGATGTAGATGTGTACTAACAGGGGAAGTGCTTTGAAATTATTTGTTGGTTCTTTATTTCTCCTGAAAACCTTGTGGTGGTGGAGGAGGGGCAGAAAGGCAAGGAGGCATTGCTAACTTCCCTAGGTCTGAGCATCCTCATCTCTAAGGAAGGGTTAAGTAACTTGTTTGTTCTCTTGGACAATCTGTGCCATTCTCACTGCTGGTGGAAAGTAGCCATCAGTCAACAAGTCTGCCTACTGTGTACCCAGACTTGTGTGTGAGGTGACAAAGGGAGAAGGAGCAGGAAAAGATCACAGCCTCAGGGATCTCCGGCAGTATGGAGACAGAGGAAGAGCAGGACCAGGCCAGGCCAGGCTCTCAGAGAACTCCTAGATTGGGGGATGTGGAGCCAGTTGAGGGGTCGAAGGGAGGTGGATAGACATGACTCTGGAAATAGTGAGAGAATGATGTCAGAAGATGTGGGGATTAAATCTAGCTGACAGTGGCAGCATTGAACTCATCCTCTTTTGAAGGAGAAGAGGAGAATGGATGTGCCACACATAGACTAAAGCCAGGAATTCTGAAAGAGTTATAAGCTCACCGGAGGGGTTTGGGGAAGACAAAGAAGGCATTTTGTCTGGCTTCTTTCCCTGCTACCCCTTTGTGTCTTTTTCTATGTCTCTGTCATGTCCATATTGCTCTGTCTTTTTCCCCCTCCATCTTTGTCTCTGTTTTCTCTGTCCTTACATTCCTCTTGAGCTAGAAGTCTGACTGTTTAGTAGAGACAGGTGAAGAGAGGGCTTCATGGCAGCCTCTCCCAGTTCTCTCTGTTCAATGGCTTAAAGGCCTTATCACCAGCTGCTTTCTTTGGCCAGAGAAGGTGTGAGAGGCTCACAGCCAGGAACTGACTTTGAGAAGAATGACTCAATCGATCTTTCATCTCAACCATTTTCTGGCCAAACATATGCTGGACTCTGTTTCTGCTCCTGGACTATGGGCAATGAAAGAGGGGCCTGGGCAAAGACAGTTTCTCAGAGTCAGTGATATAAGCTTATGCCCCCAGAGTGCCCTTCTGTTTCTGCAGTGATGGATGGGGGAAATGCCACTGAAGTGGGTTGCCAAAGTTCCTCCCTCTTCCTCCCTCCAGAGGTCATAGCAGTTTATGTGCAGATTGGCTGTACAATGGGGCATTCCTGGAAACTGCCTGACTAGTCCCTTGTAAGAAGTCCTGGCCAGGGAGTTAGTAAAGGAAGTACCCACGCTGATGGAATCATAGAGCCTTGAGGCTGAAATACAAAGTGCTGTGGGAGATTCAAGAAAGAAAGCGAAGTTTTGCCTAATGAATTGGGGAAAACTTCCTGGAGGGGATAGTGTTTGAGCTAGACTTTGAAGACTGGGTCTGTAACTGTCAGTAAACAGTGGATAATAATAAAAGCCTTTTAATAAACTTTTTTTTTGAGGGGGAAAATATAGAACTGAGATTTCATTGGTGTAGGGAATTTTAAGCAAAGAAACTCCCTCTTATAATGCAGATTCAGCAAATTAGGCAATAATCTTAGAGAGTTACCTGGAGGCCATGAGGTTAAATGATTTAGCCAAGGTCACAGTCAGCCTTTTAGAAACTGGACTTTAACTGAGGTCTTCCAGCCTAAGACACTGCCTCAGTTACCGCTCTGCCAAGCTATCTGCCTCATTATCTAAAAAAAAAAAAAAAAAGTTTTATTGATACCTTTGCTTTTTACACCAAAATTAGATTTTCTACCCAGTGTATCTTCCCTTGTAACAAACCCAAACCAACCAAGTCTGACAGGGTATATACACCATGCCACACCTGTACTCTGCCATCAGTTTATATATTATACATCCACTACATATTAATGTTTCTTATATTATATCATACACCAAAACTTGTTCTGTGATTTTCATTTGTTATTGGTGGAGAGGCAGTGTAGTAGGGGGGATAAAATGCTGCATTTAGAGAAGTTGGGTTCAGATTCAGGCTCTGATATTTACTAGTTGTATGGTCTTAGGCCATTACTTCATTTCTCTGATGTTCAGTTTTCTCATCTGTTAAATGATGGGATTGGCTTAGATGTCCTCTAAGGTCTTCTTCTACTCTAAGTGTATGAACTTATGATGAGCAATACTGTGTTTTCAAATGAAGATTTTTATACATTGGGACCTTTCTGACTTCAACGTCCTTGAGGTTTATGCCCAGTAATCTCTATGTTAAAGGTTATAAATTGTTTTAGTGACTTTACTTTTCCTCTTTCTGTGTCTCTCTCTGTCTCTGTATCTCCCTGTCTCTGTCTGACTTTCCCTAACTCTCTGTCCCTATCACTCTTTGTTTCTGTCTGTCTGATCTCTATCTCACCTAGACTGGAAGTGCAAACCTAATGCTAATCAACATGAAAGCTTTTAACCTGTTCTATTGTTTCATCCTGTGATGTAGCTCAGATCCCCCAAGTTCAATCCACCAACCTCTTCCTCCTCCTCTTCTTTCTCCTCCTTCTCTTCCTCCTCCTCTGCCCCAACCCAGAAGGGGTTAAAGGAATGTGCCACATCTATTAGTGACTTTTCTCCAGTGAGAAGTAGTACTCCTCTGGATTACTTTCCCAACTACTACTTAAATTGGCAAACCAGGACCCCAGAAGGTGGTTTGCTACTACTCTCCTCAAGGTTCTGGAGGTTAATCTTGAGGGGCTTAGATTTTTCTTTTACTCATGAGCCTCCCTTGGCTTGCTTTCTGCTGATTATTAGACAGACTTAATTAGCTTTTAGAAAATATATTTACTAAGAAAGTATAGCCAGGACAACTGATACAGAAACAATCCCCCCAAACTTGAGGCACAATTTTCCCTTGCACGTACAAGGTCCCTAGAAAGACAGGGCCCAGACTTATACTAAAATAGTAGTGAGACACACATGTAGGGAACCTGTGTGGGGAAAGGGGAACTCCTGGTTATTGGAAGTCTTTTTCCCCTTCATGAAATCCTCAAGAAGCTCCTCTTAGGTGTAGCTCTCTACTGGGCTCTAAGGGTTGGGCTCTTAATAGAGTTCAGAAGCAGCCTTTCCTTGGTATGCTGAGTTTGTCCTTGGTATGTTTCTCAGCTGCTAATGCAGATGCTGCTGAAGGCCGCTGCTGCTCTGGGGACACTATTATACCTTGAGAAGTTCACAACATTTCAGCCCTTGAATAGCTTGTTGTTCTTATAAATAGCCCCACAGAGCATGACTGATTCTCTTTGATCAATCACAAGACATATCCTATCATATACTCTCATCCAGGGACCCAAAACTCTTAGGATCCTTTCAGATTAATTAAAGACTTATTCACACTTAGCTTATTTTTGGCTGATTAATTCATTTGAGATATCTGGGCCTTCTGTGATCAGTTAATTGGGGTGAAGGTAGAAATACCCACCTTCCCAAAAGTAAATTACCTCTTTAAAATGAGAATTGGTTTGGGTACTGGGTAAAGGAGGCAGCTGCAGTTCCTGCCCCAGAAAGCTGATGGGTTGAAAGACATCACATTGACATATACAACAGGCAAAACAGGGCCACTTCCCACATGAGGCAGAGAGCCTTGTGTCAGGAAGCTTGGGTCTGTTACTAACAATGCTTTTAGGTACATCCCTTTTTCTCAGTTTCCCCTTCTCTAAAATGGGACAGGATGGGGGAGAAGTAAACTTGGTTTTTAACAGCTTTCCTGGCTCTAAAATGCATTGGTCTCAAACTTCAATGTGCTATTATGTAAATAAAGGGTAAATGTAATTTGATTGGAAAATGAGGGAGAGTACCCAGAATTTGGAGTTTGGGATGGGGAGAAAGCGAGAGAGGAAGGCTGGGCCAGAGCCAGTCCTCAGCAGATTTGTTGAAGAGAGAGAAACTTCACCTTACTTTAATAGATTCTGAATTCTATTTCTACATGACTTACCCAACTCTAGCACCAGTTATTTTCAAATGATCCTCAGTTATCTTTGTACCCATGGACAATCCAAAGAGAGGGCTTTTGATGGTCAATAATCCATCCCAAAATGGCCTCCCCGTCCCCTGTGACTTTATTCCTTTGCTAGTAACTAAACAAGTGTCCAAGTCCCCTGTTAGCTTTAAGTAAATATAGTTGGGATTAAATCTGCTATAAAAATAATTTAGAAGCCCTCCCTCATGCTGGTGAGACTCTGTTCTTCCAATATGTTTCATTTGCATGATTTGCTCTAGAGCCTTATGGGAGTGAATCAGTTGAGAAGATGTGGTGGTCCCAGAGAGCTTACATATTTTTTAATTAATATTTTATTTTTTCAAATTATATTTAAAAACAATTTTTAGCATTCATTTTTTAAAATGTTGAGTTTCAAATTCTTTCCTTCCCTCCTTCTCTCCCCCCCCCCCACTGAGGAGGCAAGTAATTTGATATAGGTTATATATGTACAGTCATTACATATGGTTCTTAGGGAAGAAAAGCTCATTTTGTTCCAAGCAACTGGGAAAGTTAGTATAATTAGACTGAGGCATACCTTATACTATGTGAGAAATGGTTCAGAGCCCATGTCTCTCCAGTTACTAGTAGGCCAAAAGGTGGGCTCTTTTGAAAAGTAGTTTGTAGCTGAGAATGGGAACTGCCTGCTTAGTCTTTTATAGGAAG